CACCGTTTCTCCCCGCAGCAGATTTTCAACAGTTTTTCTCATTCTCCTCGTTTTACATTACTTATTTATCTTTGTGCATATTATCCGACATTCCGACGTGTTGTGGAAATTGGTCTCCGTAAACTTTTGACCTCCGCCGACGTTCGTTTTCCACCGGTTGAATGCCATGTTGACCGTCCAACGAAACGTGAAACGATTCGCGAAAAAGAAAAAAAACAAGAAAAGAAAAGAAAGAACGAACGAAAGAGAAGCTAACACAAATAAATATAGCCATCTCGAATTTTCCGTCGTCGAATTCTCCAAGATCGAAGGAATTCGAGGATCGTCGCATATGGGAAACGCGACGACGATCGCGTCGAGGACGCGCGTGTCGCCGCGTGCACACAAAAATATAATCACTAAACCGGCAAAATCACTTCTACGAAAGGATCCAACATGGCAGCCAACGCACTGATAACTCTTTGGACCACATTCATCGCACGAGAATTTCGTTTCTAACACTAACTCGTATCGGCCCCCACCCCCACCCCCGGCGACTCTCGACACCGTCGTCATCCCCCTTCGAACGCCTCGCTTCTCGGATACGATACGTAACACTAAAATCTCCTACGATTCGACGAAGTTTCTTCGACACTACTACCACACGGATTGACTCCAACAGCACCGCTAAAGGGTATAACGTACAACCATTTACGACATATCTGCATAAAGATGAACAATATCGAAACGATCGTTTTGGAAGTCTTCCCCAAGTTCCACCCTTCCACAAGTCAGAATCACAGGATGACGCACTCTTTTCTTTCTTTCTTTCTTTCTTTCTTTCTTATTTTTCTGTTTCATCGATCACCGATATACATATATATGCAAACATACATATATACATATATATAGAGAGAGAGACCTGTTGCGTCGTCATAGTTCATCCTCTTGGTAACTGGAAGCTTGTCCCGAAGACTCTTCGGCACCGGTTCACACCGACGCACATTAGTACATTCCTTGTCTGAAGGGATTGCTGTCGCCACCGGCGGGTCTCTGGTCGGCGTTCGGTCTCCTGAAGGGGTTGATGTCCATCTGGCCCTGTTGTTCCTGGCCGTACGGCCTCTGGCCGTAGGCCTGGCCGGTCTGAGCGTAATTGGCCGGCTGCTCGTAGCCGGGCGGCTGCTCGTAGCCGGTCTGGGCCTGGTTGTAGCCGGTGACGTTCTGCCCGTAATCGGGCTGCTGGTAGTCCTGCGCCTGGTAATTCTGTTCGTAGCCGGTTTGGTCCACGTCGGTCTCCATGCGCGTCTGATTCAGATGGTTGCCGACGTCGCCGGAGAGCGGCCTCTGCTCTTGGAGGACGTACGTCTGGTACTCTTTGTCCGGCGGGTCTTGCATGAGGACGTCGGCCTCGTCCTGGAACGGCTTGAAGTCGTAGATGTGCCTCAGGTAGACCAGGACCGGCGCGTACAGGAGATTCGAGAAGGCTATGCCGACGTTCAGGGCGGTGAAACCGATCGCCTCGACGACCCCGCCGGCAATGATCGGGCCGACCGCGTACGCCACGCTGTACGAGATGTCCGCGATGGCGTAGATGCTGCCATAAACGGAGACGTATCGCACGTCCACGAGATAGCCGAGGGTGGGCAGCAGCGCGGTGTCTATCAGCGCTATGCCGAAACAGATCCCGCACAACGGGATCATGAGCACCTTGTACGAGGTGCAGAACGGTATTATGAAGCAGCAGAAACCCTCCAAAGCTAGGCCGGACGCGGCCATCAGCCACTGGTGTTGCGGATACTGTTTCGCCATCTTGACGGTGAGCACGACGCCGAACACGTGCGGGAAGAACGCCGGCAGCCAGATCATTCCCATCTTCCAGTTGTCGTGGGTGATATTGTCCTCCATCCAGAGGGAGATCGTCGGCTCGAGGAACGCCAGGGCCACGTTCGACATCATCAGAGCACCGGCGCAAACGGCGATGTACGGGTCCATCAGCAGCTTCCAGATGGGTATCGTGGGCGTGTCGTTGCCGCGCTTCTCCTTCAGCTGCTCCGAGATCGGCTTCATCACCAGGAGAAGCATGAACCCGTCGGCCAAGCTGATGAACGCCAGGATCAGGAAGGGCACCTCTTTCCCGGCGAACTGGTAGAGAGCACCGCCGAACGGCGGGGCCACCAAACAGCCGAAGCTGATGAACGCGAGCGCTATGCCGAGCGCTTTCGAGCGTTCCGACTCCTCCGTGTAGCGATCGGCTATCATCGCGAGGCCGCTGGTGTCCGCGAACGCCGAGCCGACGCCTTGCAAGCTCCTCGCGAAGAACAGGACGCCGTAGCTGCCGCCGCAGGCGAACACCGCCGTCGACAAGAACATTATGCTCAGGCCGATCATCATCGGTATGTCGTAGCCGATACGGTCGATCAGCGCCCCGGAGAACGGGTTCACCATCAGCTGGACGATCGCTTTGGACGCGAACAGTATCCCCGTGGCTGAGTCCTGGCCGTGATGGTGGACCGGAGGGCCGGTCGCGTTCACCTCCTCCTCCTCTTCGCCGAACGCGCCCACGTACTTCAGGTAATCCGGTATGATCGGCACTATCACCATGTACAGCATGTTGTCGAGCAGCAACGCTATCGAGACGATTACTAAAACGAGCTTGCGCTGCGCCTTCGGCTCTTGCAGCTTCATCCACACGAGCTCCTTGAGCTCGCTGACCGGTATGTTGAGAATGGGTATTCTCGTCGACATGGTGGTGTGTCTTTAGAGGTAGCCGCCTTTAATGGTACAGGATCGTCTTCCACAGGGTTTAATAACAACTAAACTCGGGAGTGACGAAGAGATCGTCGCGATTGGGGCGCATCAGGCCGGGCCGGGGATAACCTACAACAGATCACCGAGTGGCACGGTTAGCTCCCGAAATCATGCAATCTTTTTTTGTTTCTTTTTTTTATTTTTTTTTTGTTTTTGTTTTTATTCTATGCAATTTTCTTTCTGCTTTTTTTTGTCCGCCGTTCGACCGCTGTGCTCGTTTCCATCGGGCTCGTTTCGGTTTTTCGGGCCAAATGAGAGAGAGAGAGAGAGAGAGAAAGAGAGAGAGAATTTCATGAAGTTCAAGAATAGGGGAGCCCTGACCCGGCCTGATCGGCGTTTATCCCACCCCAACCCGACCTTTTGCTACCAGCGACGCCGCAGAAGAGTTCATCTTCGTTTCGATGAAGGTTTTCGCTCCGTCTCTAGCTAGAAGTTGATTCTTCGGTTGCTTCTGGTAGAACCTAACACCGGGTGGAGGCTCCCCCTCGAGGTTCTCGGCTACCTATGTTTCGTATCGAGTCTCGAGTTACCAGAGATAGAAACGTGGGGGTGGGCTGTGTTGCCAGCGAAACGAGGGTGAAGGTCGGTACCTCGGATGACACGAGTTTACTTCGTAAATAAACGCCGCCCCGGCAATTGTTTCGCGCGGAGTTTATAGTCGACGCTACGCTACGATCGATTAAATCTGTTCGATCAATTAAATCTGTGGCCTCGTATTTTCGGTCTCGGTACGGTGTCATTTTATTTATCTCGGAGGAAGGAACCGCGAGAGAAAGGAACCGATCCTGGCGGCGATCGCTGCGAACCGTCCGAAATCGTGCGAAATGGGAACGATCGATTTCGTCGCGACCATCTTTTTAGCCGAGTCCGCGATAGAACGACCGGGAGTGTCGCGTTGCAATATTTAAAACGCGTCGAAGTTGTGCCAAATGTCGTCGCGAATCGCGAGGCTTGCATGAAACGGAGCCAAGCGTTTCGATTATTTACTGGTCGAACCGTCGGTTTCGAGGCCGTCCCTGCGATCTGATTGAACGAGGTGTACCGAGCACGACTTGCTAAATTTTATCGCTGAACGGAAATGCAAAATGTATGCGTCGAGAACAAGAAAAACACGAAATTATTTTTCTTCTCGCGTCTTCGCGTGAAAATTCGCGGTGTTCGAAAGAAACGAGTTTGGAAACGTCTGGAAGTTTTGTTTATAAAATATATATATATAGACAGGATATTGTTTTTCGATCATTTATTCCGGTCAATAGCTGAATTAAAAATCGTTGTCGACGGTCGCACAGAGAAACAGGTCGCAGTATTCTCGATCGTGAATTCGGTGAAATGATTTCATAACAAAATGCGAGAACAGCACGGTATAATTATCGCAATAAATTGTGCAACAGATCTCGCAAATTTCGAGCGTTGTCCCAACGACGTTCCAGCTGGAACGCACCCTGCGCTGTCGTCGCGCGTGGGAGAAAACAACGGACTATAACGGGGTTTCGGTTATTAAAATCAGCGTACAGAAAATTCTCGCTATTTTTCCTTCGGCTTGTAAAAAAAATGGACATCTTGGGAAGAGGAGATACGGTTATTCGAATCTTGCACTTCGTTTTTACAATAATAATAAAATAACGTACATGTATAATATAAATAATATATATATTTATATTATAATAATATAATATATAATATTATAATTATATTATATAATAATATATATAATATACATATTTATATTATATCTATTATATTTAGATATTATATATTTATACATGCATATAAAATATAATATAATAAAACTAAATATCTAACAACCGTATCTCCTCTTCCCAAATTGTCCACTTTTCCGTTCACCTGGGCTGAAGAAAATTTCGTCGAAGGAAAATTAGGGCGAATTTACCGCATTTGGCAGTTTATTTTACGGACTCGCGAGATATATCTTGGCACCGGCGATGCGCGTCCGTGTCGTGGCATTAACGAACGTCGTGTCGCGCCGATCGACCACCGTGTCGTTGTCAGAAACGGATTAATTATTATCGTGGACCGATCATTCGTAAACTGACGTTCCGTCGAAGGTAGTTAAATGCGTGTCGACACCCTCGTTTATTAATTACGGTGACTGGTGAGCGTCGTGCAGGGGAACGGTAACTTCGTCAACGATCGTAACGAGCCTCCATGACGAAGGGGAAACGCCGTGGACCGAAGAAAATTCGTAAACTTACCGGAGTTATTGGCGAACTTCTGCCTGAGGGAATTGGCGAGGCGTTGGGAGCCCGCCAATGCCGGAAGTCCGGCGAACAGGTTGCTCAGCGTAGCGGCAACGCTGTCCTTGTCCTTCGAGTCGTTTAACGACTCCTCTGCACCTCCCGTCCCTGGGCCCTCCACCTTTTTAGCTGAATTTGGAACCGGGCCTGCGAACACCACAAGTCCGTTCCGGTTTCATATTTTTATAATATATATTTTAAACGATGTTTTCCTTGTGTGTGTGTGTGTTTCACTTAATATTTTTTTTATATATAATTTTATATAATATATTCACTTAATATTTTTACATATTTTAATAAGTACACGTAATATCGTTTTATTTAGTTCGCACGATAGATAAAAAATATAACAAAGAAAATACAATATAATTGTGTAATTTAAATAGCGAACATATATTTCCGGGATTGTATTTTATTACCGTAAGAGTCATTGAGTTATTATAATAAAAAGTAATTAATTTGATTAGAAAGAAACCAGGTTAATAATTAATACTATTCACGTGTAATTCGATTTTTCATAGTTATACCCATTGAAATAATTCCGGGATCGAATATTTGATTACCGTAAGAAGATATTTAAATAGGTAACCATGAAAATGTCGAAGCGGACCGCGTGCAGGATAACGTTGAACGAAAAATGCGTTTTTTTTTTTGTATCTCTCGATGGATCGCGGTTAAAAATACTCATTCACCGACCCCACTTTAGAGTAATCAAAAAGTTGTCAGTCTTTAGCACGCTTCCCTTCTATCTATAGGCTATAAGTTGATTTCATTCGTTCCTCCTTCAATACCGACACAATTTCCTTAACACTTCTATTATCTTACGCACACGTTACCATCGGACAATCTATATTTGGAACGTCCACATCTATCTATAACGTCCAGTCTTCTTCTACACCTTTCCTATTCGAACGATCGGCACACGCGCGACGGCATTTCCGAAACTAATTTTTCCGTTCGTCGTCGCTGTTGCAACGGCGATCATTCCGGCCACGTATTCCCCTTAATTTCGTTCCGACGTTTTCATGAAATTTCGATGAAGTTTTAACGACGAGGTTCCCTGCGATGCTTCTTTTCAGAAGCTATCACGAAACACCGACACCGCACAGCGTAGTTCTACGTTCGCGCGAGGGTGTCTCGACGCGCACGATCGAGGATCTGCGACGAAAAGAAAAGAAAAATCGTCGAAAATTCCTGATAACAGTTCGATAAAGATTCTAAAAAGCTGTAAGCTAAAAGTATTCGTTCCGATACGAACTGACAGAGACGATTCGATGCAGTATCATCGCGAAGTGTCACATTCTCTGCGGCCGTAACCGTTGCCCCAACAGATTTTCGGCCGCTACAGCATTCAATTTCCCCGAAACGGAAGCTATTCGAACAGTCGCGCTATGAGAGAAATCATACAAAAGTTAATATCTAGCAGGAATCATCTTCTAAACTTACAGAGAATACATTTATTTATTTATCACCTTTTTATCGGAATTAAATAATTCAATATCAAGGAAACACGTCTTCTATCGGTTTGCTAACGGCGTGCAAAGATTGTCAAAATTTTCTACATTTAAATTAACAATCGGATAAAAATTTCACCGAAGACCGACGACATTTAAGAAGAACTAGAATCACTTTTCCACGAAAAAATCTACACTCGCGATATCTGCAAGCGTATACCGATCTCGAGAAGATCTTTGAGGAAGGTCGTTGAAACGGCGTCGAGAGTCGAAGCAAAGCGGATCCCGAAATATTTCACAAAATCGTGCTCTTCGAAACGATCGCTCTCTAATGAACGCCGCAAAATTCTCTCGCGCGAGAGCAGAGAAGCACGATAGAGACGAATTCGAGCGACGAAAGGGGTGACACCGGATTCCGATCGAGCGTCAGTAGGCCGTGCTGATAGAACAGATATTCCTAACAGCTAGCCCTGAAAAAGGCTAGCTTTCGAAAAGAATTTGCACCGAGAACCGTCGAGATTAATACGTTCAGTTTACCGCGTGACACTAATGATACTATTAATGACACTAATTTTTTAACCAGGCTTCCGAAACTCATTCTCATCGCAATACACCGAACAACCCTAATATTCCTAGGATCCGTAGAATCCGAAACAGCCGAACAATAGTTTATTACCTGCGCCTAAATCTCCACCGTCCAGTTTCTGTTTATCATCGATGAAACGACTTCGATATCGAATTCTTCGAGCCCGATATTCGGGGCGCGCGACGTGTTAACGGCCTACCGAAAGGTGGCTACCAAAATTGACACCGCGAATCGATACGCGGCTAGATGGCTCGGCGACCAGGAGGCTCGGTGACCCGAACACGACCGATCATCTAGATTCCTACAGGAGATTCCGGGAGAAGACGCGTGCTACTGGCGCACGAAAAAAAAAAGAAAAAAAAGAAACAGATCCCTAGAACCAGCCGACAGACGCGAGAAGCCATCGCGCGATCGTCGGACGGTCTCATCCGGGTTGCGAGAGGCGCGTCGAGGAGGACGACGGGGTATCCGACATTTCGGTAGCGGCACCCTCTGTCCAGGTGAGCGGTCTATTCTCAGTTGTCGGAGGACGCGACGACGACGCGGCCGAATTTCCGCGAGGATCCAGCGCGGGCCACCCCCGGAGCAAAGGGTGAACGCGAGGCCGGAGCCGCGAAAAGCTCTAAATACCGGACGACTGATAATACTTACTGAGACCGAAGGGCTCCCGATGGCAGGGGCGTCTCGGTGTGTCTCTCCGTCGGGGTAGCTTTGGAACGTCTGCCCTCGGTGTCCTCCCCGCCACCGGGTCGTACGTCACCCTCTTCCCGTCCCCATGTTCCCCTAGCCTCCGAGGAAAATCGCGACAGGGCGCAGTCGCGGTTTCCAGGATCCAGGGATTGGCCGCGGCACCGAGGCCGTGCGTCAGCCCCCAAACCCTCCACCATCAAACCATCCGCATCCCCCTTCTGCTCCGCGTTCCTCGTGCACCCTCCGCGTGCGCCGCGGGGGGACAGGGGGCCGGCACGTTCCCGGGGGAAGAGGAAGAGAACAGGTATAACGGCGACGGTCGATGCTGCGCGGTATTTCTGGCGGCAGGTCGATATGAGCTTCACCTGTACGACTCTGGGCTGATGGGAAAAGAGGGTGCTTCGGACGTGGCGAACGGAATGGAGGTTGGATTCCTTCGGACGCGAAACGCCGCCGACCGGACCTGTCACTCGAGCCACGAACTTTCACGGTTACCTGGGAAAAACTGCGAACCTCCGCTGATTTTTACCGATTCCTTACGGGTTAGCGGGTTCGCCCAATGCTCGGCCACGGGGTTTCGCCCCGTTTCAGGGGTCGAGGATCGCGTTCTCGCTGATCGCAGGCTTTCGCCTTTTCGGGCCGCGTGTCCGCGCCTCGACCATCCACAGATTGGACGCTCGTTCTTATCCGGGAACTTGAGGACACGGGACGTTGATTAGGTGCACACGTAGCGGAGTCGAACCCGTCGCCGATGCGACCCGATCTTGCGGATACTCGGACAACGAATTGGTCGATCGTCTTTAATTCGCGCTGTTGGAGATTTCCGCGAATTTCGGGGGTTTAGATTTCATGTAATTTCCTCGAGGTGCTCGTTTTGCGTGTGTTTCTTTGCTTCGTTTCGAAGCTGTTCGCTCATTTATTTTGTCGGCGTGGTCTTCTAATTTCGTCTTCTTATTTTGGCGACGCAGTTTCTGTGCTCGATAGACTGATCTCATTAACGAGCATTCGAAACGACGAGAATCTTCTTCGATCGAAACGTCGACAGTTTTCGAAGAAACCGGGTCAGCATTTAGCAGTCTTGCGAGATTATCCTACATCGGTGGATAAATGTTGCAATAATAACGCTTGTTAAAAGTCAGGATAAACGTCTTATCGTTGCTTTTATAAATCGATATGAAGCAGCTCTGTTTTTCGTGCTACGTAAATCTAGCGTTAACGATCGGAGATTTCGTCGTGATTTTCTTAACGCGTTGAATGTTGTTCGAAATCCTGTTCTGCAAGGTAAAATGAATCTTTAGTTTCACCAGTGATGATTACTCGCGCGAGAGAAAGAGAGATCAGCGTCGAATTAATTCGCAAAAGGCTCGTGGAAACGGAACGTTTACTTTACCCTTAATTACTAGAGAAAGACATTCTTGGTAATTACGAAGTTCGATTCTAGTTCACGAAATAGGAGCGTGCCGCGCGAACCCTCGTTGAATAATGCTCGTCGAACGGAGCGCAAAACTATTTTAAAGGTAGAAGTCGTTCTCGGTTTAAAAATTTACTCCATTCTACTCTGTCGAGAATGGCAAAAAATCTCCGCGCGACCTAATTTGGACCGACGTTTCGGTGAATGTTTAAAACGCGTTTTTCAAGACACGCGTTTCGTTTAACAGCGCGTGATCCGAGCTTCTTTTGCATCGCATTGAAATATTGTAGGCTACTGTTTTGACGACACCTGTCTCTTTTTATTATTCGCTGAGGAACCGGCTTAACCAAAATTACAAACAATGCCTTCGCGATTATTTCGCTATTATTATTATTCGATGTTTACATTGTAATTGGAAATATAAGAGTCGTACGTATAAAAAAGAAAAGTGTGAAGCTCCCATTAACAGCTATTTGTGTCACGTGTCAATTGTAATTCGGGATCTTCGTGCAATTATCTCCATTTCTATAACTCATTTTTCAAGCATTCGATAGAGGGAAAAATTTCCTTCCGTCGATTGAAAGATTCGTCACAGCAAAACTAGACCGAAAATTAACTTTCTATTATCTTCTTTCTATTTTCACGTATTTCACAAATTTGCACGCTTCGTAAACGTGTAAAGATTTGCTCGATATCATATTTACGAGCGTATCGTCATCGAACAACCGATACGCAAGCTCCTACACACGGTAACGTAATCGTAAAGCAGGATTTCCTCCGAAAATCCGAAATATTTTATTTACGGAACAAACGTTTAATTCGGCCCGTAAATTTATCGGATGCAGAATTTCCGAAGCTGCGTGCTGGGAAATCGTATCAAACTCGCTCGTATTAATGGGGAGACTTGAGCGTGCGGATAAGGGCATATTCGTTGAACGTGTTGATGTCACTGTCGAGTTTTCTCGAATCGAGAGTCGTTCTCTTGCGATACGAGGCTTTGAGAATACAGTAAATTCTCCCCAATTCGCGCTCGGATTACGGTAAACTCTCTCCAATTGTCGCTCAGCTGTAGAGTAAATGTCTCCCTAATTCGCGCTCAGATTACAGTAAACTCTCTCCAATTGTCGCTCAGCTTGTACAGTAAATGTCTCCCTAATTCGCGCTCAGATTACAGTAAATTCTCTCGGATTGTCGCTCAGCTTGTACAGTAAATGTCTCCTCCTCCCAAATTGTCCAGTTTTCTGCGCAAACTGAGCGCGAATTAGGGAGACATTTATTGAGCTGAGCGACAATTGGAAAGAATTCGCTGCAATTAACTATGAAATATTCGAATTCTATGTTAAGTGCGATACAAAACAATGAAGATCAGATTACTGGATCATTGTCAAGTGTCCTAATCGACGATATAATATAATAATATCACATTTTAGTCTCGATAATTACATAATACGATTACGAAGTCGGCCGGCGCGGAGACAATGATATAGAAGTTCCTAACGCATAACTGATTACAAATGTCCGTAGAACGAAGTACAATGATGTAACAATAAATACTTTCACGTAATTACTGCAGCACGCGGTGGAAGATGTTTGTCTTAAAACGAGCGACGCGTTAAACGCACACCTATTTCATTACTCCGGCAATAAAACATCCAGGGAGAATTCGCCGCGTTCGCATTGAAATTCGCATAAATCGTTAACACGCGGTCGCAACCGGTACGCCTAACCGGCTGATGAGGTTCAATCAGCACGATTCCACATCGATCTGATGCACAGCGACAGCCTGGAAACGTCGATTCGTTCTGCAGACCGCTGTGCCGTCATGGAAAGATGAATAAGAAAAATAATGGAGCTCTCGGGGCCATACCTAATATAATAAACGTGACCTAATTTCGAAGTTTCCGAACGGGGCTTGATGACAAAAGAAGAGGACGAAGAAGGGGAAGAAGAAGGGGGGAGGAGGTGGAAGAAGAAGAAGAAGAAGANAAAACGCGTTTTTCAAGACACGCGTTTCGTTTAACAGCGCGTGATCCGAGCTTCTTTTGCATCGCATTGAAATATTGTAGGCTACTGTTTTGACGACACCTGTCTCTTTTTATTATTCGCTGAGGAACCGGCTTAACCAAAATTACAAACAATGCCTTCGCGATTATTTCGCTATTATTATTATTCGATGTTTACATTGTAATTGGAAATATAAGAGTCGTACGTATAAAAAAGAAAAGTGTGAAGCTCCCATTAACAGCTATTTGTGTCACGTGTCAATTGTAATTCGGGATCTTCGTGCAATTATCTCCATTTCTATAACTCATTTTTCAAGCATTCGATAGAGGGAAAAATTTCCTTCCGTCGATTGAAAGATTCGTCACAGCAAAACTAGACCGAAAATTAACTTTCTATTATCTTCTTTCTATTTTCACGTATTTCACAAATTTGCACGCTTCGTAAACGTGTAAAGATTTGCTCGATATCATATTTACGAGCGTATCGTCATCGAACAACCGATACGCAAGCTCCTACACACGGTAACGTAATCGTAAAGCAGGATTTCCTCCGAAAATCCGAAATATTTTATTTACGGAACAAACGTTTAATTCGGCCCGTAAATTTATCGGATGCAGAATTTCCGAAGCTGCGTGCTGGGAAATCGTATCAAACTCGCTCGTATTAATGGGGAGACTTGAGCGTGCGGATAAGGGCATATTCGTTGAACGTGTTGATGTCACTGTCGAGTTTTCTCGAATCGAGAGTCGTTCTCTTGCGATACGAGGCTTTGAGAATACAGTAAATTCTCCCCAATTCGCGCTCGGATTACGGTAAACTCTCTCCAATTGTCGCTCAGCTGTAGAGTAAATGTCTCCCTAATTCGCGCTCAGATTACAGTAAACTCTCTCCAATTGTCGCTCAGCTTGTACAGTAAATGTCTCCCTAATTCGCGCTCAGATTACAGTAAATTCTCTCGGATTGTCGCTCAGCTTGTACAGTAAATGTCTCCTCCTCCCAAATTGTCCAGTTTTCTGCGCAAACTGAGCGCGAATTAGGGAGACATTTATTGAGCTGAGCGACAATTGGAAAGAATTCGCTGCAATTAACTATGAAATATTCGAATTCTATGTTAAGTGCGATACAAAACAATGAAGATCAGATTACTGGATCATTGTCAAGTGTCCTAATCGACGATATAATATAATAATATCACATTTTAGTCTCGATAATTACATAATACGATTACGAAGTCGGCCGGCGCGGAGACAATGATATAGAAGTTCCTAACGCATAACTGATTACAAATGTCCGTAGAACGAAGTACAATGATGTAACAATAAATACTTTCACGTAATTACTGCAGCACGCGGTGGAAGATGTTTGTCTTAAAACGAGCGACGCGTTAAACGCACACCTATTTCATTACTCCGGCAATAAAACATCCAGGGAGAATTCGCCGCGTTCGCATTGAAATTCGCATAAATCGTTAACAC